ATGAAGGGGGTTGGGTTTAGGGTTTAGGGTTTAGGGTTTAGAGATTAGGGTTTAGGGTTTATGGTTAAGCGTATAGGGTTTTGGGTATAGTGTTTAGGATTTAGGGTTTAGGGTTTAAGTTTAGGGTTTAATGTTTAGGGTTTAGGGTTTAGGGTTAGCGATAGGTTTTAGGGTTTAGTGTTACGAGTTTAGGGTTTAGTTTTAGGGTTTAGGGTTTAGGGTTTGGGTTAAGTGTTTTGAGTTAGGATTTAGGGTTTAGGGTTTAGAGTTAAGTATTTAAGATACACGGTTTACGGTTTAGGGTTTAGAGTCTGAATTTAGTGTGCAGGGTTTATGTTTAGGGTTTAGGGTTGGGATTTAGAATTTAGGGGTTACGTTTAGGGTTTAGGGTTTATGATTTGGAGTTAGGGTTTAGGGTTTTGAATTTAGGATTTAGTGTTTAGGGTTTAGAGTTTAGGATTTAGGGTTTAGGGTTTATGGTTTTGAGTTTTAGGATTTAGGGATTAGGGTTTTAGAGTTTTAGGATTTACGATTGAGGGTTTATGGTTTAGAGTTTGGATTTAAGGTTTAGGGTTTAGGGTTTAGGGTTTATGATTTGGGATAAGGATTTAGGGTTTTGAGTTTAGGATTTAGGGTTTAGGGTTTAGCTTTTACCGTTTAGGGTTTAGGGTTTTGGGTTTAGAATTTGGATTTAGGACTTAGGGTTTATGTTTTAGGGTTTAGGGTTTTGAGCTTAGGATTTAGGGTTTAGGCTTTAGGTTAGGGTTTAGGGTTTAGGATTAGGGTTTAGGGTTTTGAGTTTTGGATATAGGGTTGGGTTTAGGGGTTAGGGTCTAAAGTTATGAGATTAGGATTTAGGGTTTATGGTTTAGAGTTTAGGATTTAGGGTTTAGGGTTTAAAGTTTGGATTTAGGGTTTAGGGTTTAGGGTTAAGGATTTAGGGTTTAGGGATTAGGGATTCGGGTTTAGGGATTAGGTTTTAGGGTTTAGAGTTTAGGATTTAGGGATTAGGTTTTAAGGTTTAGGTTA